AAGGTGGCACGTAGATCAGCAAAGCACCTTGCTCCAGACCCAGGGTCTCTGCTAGCGCAGGGGTACCCCTCCTGCAGATCCAAAAAAGATGCACTCTGAGCATGGACTAATAGTAAAAGGACCAATTAGAAAACAGCATTCCTCTTGAAAGACCAATTAGAAAAGGCCATTTCTCTCTGATTGGGCCAGTTAGAAAAAGATGCTCTGGGTGGGCCATTTCCAGAAAGGTCCTCCCTTCCTCCTCTGAGGGCATACAGGGCACAGGGTGCTGGCTTTGGCTGGTGCGTGTCCACTTAGCCAGGCACCCCATGCAGGGCAATGCACATACACAACACATTGTTGGCTGGTATGCGCCCACTGGAGCCCAGGCCCAGGCGCTTCAGCGGGCTCCCTCACTGCACCCTGCAAAAGCTCTCCTGCCCCAAGGAGCTGTTCTCAACTGGGTGTTAGGACCAGACACCTCCCAAAGCCCCAGCCTCCCTTCCTCTCTTTCCAGACCGCTGACAAAGGAGCCTCAGCCAACCAGGAAAAAGGCTAAATCTACCCACACCCCTCCTGACCCCTAAAGTGAGGGGGCAGTCCTGGTCTGAGGGGACCCTAGCCTGGAGCAGGCGCCTGCACCCAGACACTGGAGAGTCCTGGCCCAGAGCACGTGCTGAGACCTGGGGAGTGTGGGGTGCGCCTGGTCCTGAGGACTGAGACCGAGAGGGGAGCTCCCTCCATCCGCCCCCGTACCCTTCTGCGCACAGCCGTTGTGAGGAACGCAGAGGGAGGACAGGCTCCAAGCCCACCTCCTGTCCGCAGATGTGTCGAGATCCCCTAGAGAGCGTAGTGGGCCGTGGCGTAAGTGGGGGGTTGGCTGGACCCACCACGTAAAATGGATCAGCACTTGAGTGGGAGAAGCGGAGCACAGGCCCTGGGCCTGCCCCCGTGCAGAAATCTGTTATGGAGGAAGAGGTGGCCCTACTGTACCTGCAGTTTCTTCCCAACTTGGGCAGATGGCAGGAGGGATCCCTCGGACTGTTTCTCACCAGTCCCCTTCCCCCCGACAAGGGTCACAAGCTGAGCTTGTCAAAGCCCATAGACTAGGGGCTGAGGGAGGGGCGGGATGGCCTCAAACTCAGTCCGCGCCCCCCCACCTCTGGGGGGAGCCCAGTGATGGATTGGGGGAGGGCAGGGAGGGAGAGGCCCAGCCCCTGGGTGCCCTGCCCCTTTTTGCACTATTGGATTTAGGAGTGCCGACGGTGGGGAGAGGGAGCTAGCTGCCTGACTCAGAGAGCTTGTGTGTGTGTGTGTGTGTGTGTGTGTGTGTGTGTGTGTGTGTGTCTGTCTGTCTGTCTGTCTGTCTCCCCACCCGCCTGGGGCAGCCAAGGGCAGGGATAGGAGCAGCGCTCAGAGGGTGGTCTCCCAGCTCTTGTTTGCACCCTCCCCACCTCACCAACTTTGGTCCCTTTACGGGGCATGGATGGTTAACGAAAACCAGAACAGTACTCCAGTATTGGAGAGTAACTGGGGGCTGAGGGCTTTGAATCAGGGTAATAGCCTGCCTTCCCCTCCCCAGACCCCATGTGGCCTCAGTGCCCCCTCGGAGTTCCTCCCCCCGCCCCGCCCCTGCTGATCATTGGTCCTGCTTCCCTGGCACAAGGGGAGCCCCAGGGATTGGGGTACAGGGCAAGGGAGGGTGAAGTCACTTCCCATAGGGAAGGCCTCCCTCACAGAATTAGACTGCCTGCCTCCCACACCTTTCCCCCCGGCAACCAGGGGAGACTTAAGCTTAAGCTGACCTAACAACTGTCCCTTCACGCACCAGCTATTCCCCCGGGATATAGTGGGCAACGCTTAAATTCTCACCTTAAAAAGTCCCCACCTGCCCAGAGCCTTTGGTGGCAAAGGCCGAGGCGCCAGCGGGACAGCAGGTGAAGGGCGGGCTGGAGCCCATGTCTGTCCAGTTGCTGGGGGGCTGGCGCCAGGAGAAGGCCTTCCCGGCTTCCTGATGCTCGTGTCTCGTCGGTCTCTCTGCATGTGTGGGTGTGTGTGTGTGTGTGTGTGTGTGTGTGTGTGTGTGTGTCTGTTTGGGTTTTGTTATTGTTGAGTTTTTTTTTTTAAATAAAGAAAAGAAGATGTGTATATTTTTGGCAATGACAGAAACGTAGTGCAGATATATTTTTGCCTGTGCTGCTCAACTGGTTTTTTTCTGATAACTGAAAATAATATTAATATTACTGTTGATAAGACTTTGTAAGATGTTAGGGAACTGATAATAGGGGGGTGGGAATCCTTCAGAGGCAATTTCTTAGGCACTTGCAAGGGCTTGGGGGGAGGGGGGAGGCAGTTGTGATGACCTCAAAAATACTCACTTTTTATTAATGCTAAATATCAGTTAGAAAGAAATGATAGAATTCAGCATTTTATTAATCTTCATCTATTAAGCTATCTAACTCCCTGCCCCCAAATCACTGAAAAAAAGTAATAACCTTCAGAGATTCTTCGAAGAGTTGTTCATTCACACCCATGCCCTTGCCCAAGACCGACCCACTTAGAGCTGAAGTCAGCCTTGGGCGAGGGAGGGAAACCCACCCAGGGCTGCTGCGGCAGAGAGCGAGAGGTCCAAATGATTTAGTGCACTGGAAACAAGACCTCCTCCTCCCTCCCAGCACCCGAAAGCCTGGGGTTCTCATCTCCAAGAGTCTGTATTTTCCAGTTTTCCCCAGGCTGGGTGCAGCAGCAGGTAGTCAGGTTAGGTTTGAAGATGGTACCTAGGCTAGGTATGGGTTCGTGCTCTCTCGATTTGGGATGGGGGTGGGACAGGACAGAGGTAGTACATGTTCATCTTTTAGGGAGCTTCATAATAAGAAAGGTCTGGAGGTCTTCAGGAAGGAGCAGGGTCGCAGTGTCGGGGAGATGGCTATACTGACCTACCCCTCCTCTCCCGGGCTCTGTCCCCCTTTCCAGGACAAATTTGGATGGGGAGTGGGAAGGGATGCAGATGTGTAGATCTCTCTGTCTAGGGGAGGGGAAGGATGTGGTTTGCAGGGCGGAAGTGAAGTTTGAAAATGCATGAGTGGAGCTTCGTGTGCCATCACACTCAGCTTGGAAACGTGAGTGGGGTGTGTGTGCAGAGCCACTGTCTGGCCTTGAGGTCACAACTGGTGCATGAGTGTCAGAGCTGGAAGGGACCTGTCTTTAGGGATCATTTGAGCCAGCTCCTCACTTCAAAGGTGATACCTTCAAACTGAGGAGGGACGGGGGTTCAGGAAGAGGCAGCACCAGCCCTCAGGACCCTGGCCTTCTGGTCCTCTGTCCTCCCCCTCCACTGCGTGACCTCGATGTGGATGTGGCTGTCCTTGTGTATGTGATGTGTGGCGTGAGTGCAGGGGTGTGCCCCGGGGGGGAGGGTATCGAGCACTGACTGTCTCAGCTCAGAGCTGATGGATCCTCTCCATAGACAATGACACTTTAAAGGATGCTTTTTAAAAGTTTTTCCTGTGTGTGAGTTTTTCCCTCGGGCTCCTGGGTCTCCCGCTGCCTCCAGGTGCCCTTACCTTGAAGCTGTTGAGCACCCCTGCCATTCCTGCTCTGAGTCCTAGGGAAGTGTCCTAGAGGGGGCCTAGACGAACGAGGGGAGCGGGGAGCGAGCCAGAGGCCAGCCCCGAGAGAGGGTCGAACGAGGGGAGCGAGCCAGAGGCCAGCCCCGAGAGAGGGTCGCTTCACACTTCCCTTTCCCAAACTGGAAATGCAGACAAGTTTTCAAAGGCACAATCTCCCCCGCTGCCAGCTTCCAGCATCTTCCCTGGTGTGTGGTAGGCCAGAGTTAGGGGTAGGCAGCTTACTCCCAATTCTCCTGTATCCCAGCTTATTTTCCTGGGGAGAGGTGTCTGGGGGGATTACAGTCATTTCAATTGGGAATTTGATGGCAGGTGGGGCCCAGTAACCTGGTTCCCTCTAGTTACATCAATCAGAAAAAACCACCTAGCTCCTGACCCTTCTGACTTGATCTACTGAAAAGTTGGGGACCGAGGGATGCCTTCGTTGCCCTTTGTTTGCTTCCTCCAGCCCAACCTGGGACTTAGGTGGAAGGACTGGAGACCCAGGCCTTGACCCTTTCTATCCCAGCCTGTCTCAATGTCGCAGACCCTTCCTAGGGGAGCAGGGAGGGGATGCCATGGTTTGCAAACCCAGGGCTCCTTTATCATTCTTTCTAAAACCTCCTTTATATCCTCAGCCCAAAAGTCAATGCCCGCCCCACCCCCACCCCCACCCACCTCTAAGCCTGGAATTGTGCATAACCCGGATCTTGTATCTTTGTATAACGGATGTTATTTGTACGAAGGGCAGTTCGTAAACAGCACTTGTTCTTTTAATAAAAGAATGTTTTACAAAAAAGAAAAATCCAAAGAGACCCTGCTTTGTTTGGCTTTATTGAAGGGAAAGGGAGGTGGCCTGCCAACTGTGGGAGCCGTGGCGGGGGCTGGGGGTGGGACGGTCTATCACATTTCTTACAGCACTCAGAACAGTTCGCCAGAATGCACAACATACCCCGGCTGCACACTGAACGCTACCTGTGCCCCACCCGCAAGGGTGTGACGTGGAGCCAGGCTGGCGGGAATCAGTTAAAAAAAAATAACAACAACAAGCTCCCTAGGTGATAAGATGTACCTGCCCTGCACTTCTGGCCACACTGTCTTAGACTCGGCAGGAGAAAACGGCTCCCCGAGGGTACCGGCTCACAAGGGCGCTGGGGGTGCGGCCCGGGACCGCACGCGAAAGGTGACGGACGCTCTGCGGATCACCCCGCACACTTGCGGGAACCAAAGGGGACGCCGGGAGGGCCCAGTCCACACCCCGCAAGAGGCAGGAGGAGGCTGCGGGGCTGGTACTCGGCTTGGCTTCCGGCGGTTGGGGTAGAACCCAACTGCGTAGGCCTGCGGCCCCCACCCGCACGGAACCCCGTGGCGTCTTCCGGCCGAGGCGGGGCTGGACCAGTCCGGAGGCGGAGGAAAGCGGGAAGGTGACCCGGCTGCGGGGCGGAGCCGGCATTGCGTGGCGCGGCGTGCCGTGGCGGCCCGGGCCAGCATGGGTGGCGTGGGCGTGCTCCTGCGTCCAGTGGCCTGGGTGAGCATCCCCCGCTGCGGTGCAGCGCGGCCAAGCCCCTCCTCCTCTCGCCCAGTCGCCCCCACCAGCCCAGCCCAGCCCAGCCCCGCCCGCTTGCCCCCCTGCCGAGCGTCTGCCTCCTGTCCCCGCGTCGGCCGCCTAGTGCTTCACAGCCTTCCCTGAGTTCCTGCTGCAGGGCAGCACCTCCCCAGCGACTTTCCTTCCTGTGTTGTGATCCCATTTTCTTACCCGCTCATTTTTCCTACACCCCTAAGCGGCTGTCTCTTCCCTCCCAGATGACTTCCCTCTCGAAGTTCTCCGCATTCCATTGACTTTATTTTTCTGTTTCCACACCACTGCCTGGTGATAACTGCGTACCTCGCAGAAGCTGAACCAGAGGCGCGACATCTCCTCTTGGCTAGTAAGTACCTCCACTTCCCTCTCTTCTCTGCCCTAGTTCCCCAGGCCCAGAGACCAGGGAACGGAACCAGAAAGGGTCAGCCCTGCCTCCAGGGCTCCAGCCTGCGAATGCCTTGCCACCTCCCAGCGGCTTTGGGGAGGTGGACTGCACCAGAGGGCATGGGGCAGGAAGCCAGGCTCCTGTGCTGGGAAGTGGTGCCTGATAAATCAAGCCTCAGGTCGAGTTGGCCTGCTTAGGCTGGAGGGTCCTGGCGTCCCCTCCCCAGCACGTGGGTGGAACCAGGGTTCCTAGAGAAGGCATCTAGGCCCCAAAACCTGAGTACCTGCATGGCCTTGAAGTCCTTCCCTCTCTGAAGCTCAGGGTACTTAATGGTGTCCTGGGGAAAATGTCCTTGCTAAGTTTCATCAGATCAGCCTCCGGCAGAGAAAGCCTGCCACAAGCCCGGGCCAGCGGGAAACCGGACAAGACCACAGGCAGAAAATGCTTCCAGGACTTGGGCTGACCCCATGCCCTTCATCTTTCCTGCTACAGGCCAAATGGTTCCCGAAAGTCCCAGCCAAGTCCGTGGTGGCCCTGAAAACACCCATCAAGGTGGAACTAGTGGCAGGGAAAACCTACAGGTGGTGTGTGTGTGGCCGCAGCAAGAAGCAGGTGAGAGACCCTTACCCCTTCTCATTGACATATGACACCCCTGGTTGGGGAAAGTGGGGTGTCTCCTGGGAGCTCCTTCTCAAGAAAAAAATACTCAGGCCAGCATCACCTGGAGTTTGAGCTCTGTTCTCTGCATCTACCCTTCGAGATGAGCCCAGAGAGACAGAGACTCAGTCACAGAGCCAGGCAGGTGGAACCCAGGGCTGTGGACTTTGCTTCTGGTGCTCCCTCCTTCTCAGAGGCTCCTTCCAGGTTCACACTATGCGTGATAGGCTTGCCTGTCTCTCCCTCTCCCTTTGCTCCTTTCAAGAAGTACCTGCGCCAAAGGGTCCCAGCTCTGGGAAGACTCTGCCCGGCTCTGCTGCCCCCAAGTGCCCCTTCCCAGTGTCTTCCCCTGAAAACCCTCCCCTTTCTGCTGATGTGACTTCCCTGGTTGCCTGCCACAGCCTGCTGTCTCCTCAGCCTGGCCACCTGCTCCCAGCTCACTCTCCCGTGTGCCCCAGGAGCCTTTCATCCAGCAGGAAACTGCTCCATGCTCTTAGCCTCCGGGGCCCCAGCTAAGCTCTGAACTTTGCCTTCAAGCAGTGTGGTGTGGTGTCAGTAGCAGCTGCAGGTACTCCTGAGGGTGGAGCAGTAAGGGATGCTGGCGGAGTGCGGCCATGCCGCTGCCTCATGCCCTCTGGGACCCGCGGCTGGCTTTTATTGGCATATTTTCCTCCTCTCTCCTCCTATCCCATTCTGACCCCCAGGTCAAAAGGCCCTCTCATAGCAAGTCACAGCACCTCCGTGGGCCTCGGTTTCCATGAGCCAGTCTCTGCTTGAGCACCTCCTGGGATGGATGGGGAGTGTATGCTGGCACCAGATGATGGCCAGTTCGCTGAGGGATATCCCCTTCCTCCAACACTTGCCTCCTATAATATGCCCGGTTGTTTCTTGGAGCTAGAAAATTGATACCCCAGTCTTATAGCCCTGAGGTTCATGCAGGCTCTCTCCAACCCTTTCTACCCAAGAATATGGGGGAAAGAAATGAATTTCATGAATTTACAGCCATTTAAAAAGAAAAAATAAACCTGTCTGTGTAAACCATGCTGATAACTAAGACCCTAATTTCACCTTGAAAATGCTTTGTGTCCTGGAGACTAAGGCTGTAATGACTCACTGAACACTTACTGTATGCAAAGTGCATAATAAATGGTCATTATTTCCTTGGGACAACTCATGTCATTACCCTCACATTGCAGATGAGAGGTCAACTAATGTCACTCAGGGGCCCGAGTCCTAACCACTGTGCACTGCCCAGCCCCATCAGGTGGGGCCAGGTCTCTTAACTTCTCTCTCCTTCACCAGCCCTTCTGTGACGGCTCCCACTTCTTCCAACGAACTGGCCTTTCCCCACTCAAGTTCAAAGCCCAGGAGACCCGAACAGTGGCCCTATGTGCCTGCAAGGCCACTCAGAAGCCTCCATACTGCGATGGCACCCACAGGAATGAGAGGGTGCAGAAGGCAGAAGTGGGCTCTCCACTCTGAGCAGGTGGCTGCTGCTCAGCCCCAGGCCTCTCTGACAGGTGTCGCCTTTGTGGGGAAGGAAGGTGAGTGCCAAGCTCAAGAAAGGATCATCCACGGATCGTACCCACAGCTGGCTTATAAAGGACTTGCCTCCCATTAACCCTGAGGTCTCTAATCCGGTGCCTCTGGCCAACAGTCCCTGCTTTAACACCTGCTGCCGGTGAAGATGGCATTAAACAGGCCTGCTGTCCAGAGTCGTGTTCTTGTGGTCACTGGTGTGAGGCACAGAGCCTACCTCTGCTCCGGATCCTAACCTGGTCTGGGGACATGACTGGCCACAGGGTGGAGGCAGTCCAGGTTTATGCCATATGGGGTCCCCCAAGGCAAGCTGAGCCCAGAGACAAGAGGCATGAAGAGGAGGCCAAGGACCCACCCATCCTTTCCCTGTTCCCTCTGCCCCAAAGAACTAGAGGCTCTGGAGAGTATGCAGCATTTATTACAAAGCCAGGAGATACAAATGTCCCAGGGTCCGGGGGGAGGGGGTACAGTCATAGCACCTCAGACACAGGACAAGGTACAAACACAAACGAACCCATTAGGGGGACCCAACGCCAAACACCTAGGTTGTGACAGTCGCACCTCCTCCCCTCCTCCCCCATCTGATCTATGTACATTGAAGAACAGGGTGGGCAGGGGTCTGCTGGGGCCTCCCCCTCAGGGGGCGCCCCACCGACCTCTCAGGATGGAGTCGAGGGCAGGGCTCCCAAGTGTGTCTGCTTGTGCTTTCAGATGCCCCTGAGGCTCTTTCCTGACTGGGGGGGTGGGGGGTGGCGTGGAGAGGGGACTGGAGGGCCGTGTGCCCTTGGCAAAATTTGGGGTCTGTGCTTGTCTGAGGTTAAGCCCACTCCCCCTCACCACTCCAGGTCCCCACGTGAGACTTACCACCAGGTTTGCTGGTGAGGGTTCCCTGGGTGGGGACGGGTACAAGGGGGTGAAGCAGTTCACAATGCTAAAGCCACAGTGGAATTTCAAGGGCTCAGGCCTCCCACGGCCCAAATCTTCTCTTCCACAGAAAAATGATGCAAAGGCCACACACACGGGGGGGGGGGGGGGGGGGCGGGGGGAGAGGCAGAACTATCTATTCTTTGCACAAAGTTGCCACTGCAAGAGGAGGAGGGAAGGGAGATACCATCTCCACTGCAGCTTACTCCTCACAACCAGGGGGTAAACTGCATTTGTAAAAGGCACTGTCTTAGCAAGTTGCTGGACATTCAACATGGAGGAGGGGCTCCGGGGGGAGGGGTCCTGGTTGGCTCAGGGCAGGACAGCAGCCAAGATGGGGAGAGAAAGAGGGTGGACCCCAAACAGAGCCAGAGTTGTGCCTAAAGCTTTGGGGGCTGGTGGCCCCCCAACACCCCATATTCCTTGGGAGGAGGATGGGGCAGAGCTTCACTGAGCCTCAAGTGGCCCCTCCAGTCCAGCCAGGCACCCCCAAAAGAAAGTGGAGCAAATTCTACAAGAACCCCTAAAAATGAACACCCATCTCCCACACATACACATACACATAAAGTTTGTTTCCTGTGGCATTTAAATTAATCTGGTTGGTCCATAGAAAATAAGTATGTATATTTGGTTTTTCCTATGTACATATATATATAGATAGATTTATTTATAAAACCCGCCCCCCTACCCCTAAGGTGGGAGGAGCTGGGGAAAGTAGAAGAGGTGGAAAAAGGAGCCCAGAAAAAGTGGAGGGTTGCAAAGGCATGGCCGGAAAGGGAGGAGGTCCCTTTCCTCAAGTTAAGGGGGGCACAGGAGCTCCATTGACAGTCATCTTGCGCCCCCTGCTGGTAGAGGATGTTGTCTGCAGGCAGTTCGAGGCGCCCCCGTTGGTAGCTGTAGTGACCCCACTGGCTGCTGAAGGGGGAGTGGGGGAGGTAGGGTGGGTGGCCGGGGGCCCGTGGGAGCTGGGAGAGCCATGGGAGGGGGTGGCTGGGCTGGGCAGGGAGGAGGAGGTGGCCGGCAGGGTGGCCGGGCTGGGAGCCTTGTCGCTGACTGACTCACACTCTGATGCCCCACTGGTGTTGGTGCCCTCGGAGGGGGTGGGTGCTGTAGGCAAGGTGAGCCGCTTGCAGGCTGGCTGGACCCGATACTTGAGGGGGAGAGGGCCGTTCTGCAGGGAGAGTCGGGGGAAGACAGGCGGGGAAGGGCGGGGAAGGGGCGGGTGTCAGGAGGAAGGCTAACCAGGCAGCCCTCCTCCACCTTCCCCCGCATAGCGCCCAAAGAGGAAGAAAGGAGACCCGGCAGAGTGGGAGGGCCTAGGCAAAGCCAGACCGAGCACTGCACTAGCGGGCAGGGCAAGGCAGGGCAGGGGAGACCCTGTAGGACCTGCGACTGGAGACAGAGAGAGGGAAGCCAAAGGGCAGAATGCAGCATTTACTCCTCCACAGCCACCAGACCCTCTCCTCTGACCCCAAACTGGGGCATGGAATCTGCCCAAGGACCCTCTTCCTTTGACTGTGGGAGATCATCAGCGAAATACGACCTCTCTGGACATAGCCAGCTCAAGGGACAAGAGATGAACTGTCTGTGATTAGTTCACCACAGGGTGGCTCCTGTGGTCGCTGTGGGCACAGACATATGCCAGGCCTGCAGGGGTCCCCTCCCGGCCCCGCTCACCCGCCGCCAGGGGTAGATGTAGGCAATATCCATGAGGGTGTAGTATTCCTTCAGGGGCTCGTCCTCGTAGAGAACCTCCACCTGGAGGAGGAGAGGGAGCACACCTTGACCCGGGGGGAGGCTTAAGGCCCTGGCATCTGGCCAAGAGGATCCACACTAGGAGTCTGGGGGCGTGGGACAAAGTGAACTTGCAGGTAGGTGGTCCCTCATTATTCTGCGGCTTCATGGTAGATGTGACTTTCCTATCAGAGTTGTCACAACAGAACTCCCGACTACCAGGTGGAAAGGCATCCAGAGAAGAGACCCACATCTTTAACAACCACCCCCCCGGTCCCCAGCCATCCACGTAACCATCTGTGTCCCCCTTAAATCCCTGGCAGGCCCCCCAGAGGAGCTAATGGGCAAAGAAAAGGCCCTAGTGAGCACTGGCTCTCCCCCAGGCTGCACCATGGGATCACCCAGGGCGCTTTAAAAAGATACCAATGCTTGGATTTCACTCCCAGAGATTCTGATTTAACTGGTAAGATACGAGTTGTTTTAAAGCGCCCGTGATTCTGACATGCAGCAAAGTTTGGGATCCACTGTCCTAGACCCTTGACACTCAAAGTGTGCTCTGGAGACCAGTAGCACTGGCAGCACCAGGGAGCTTGCTGGAAATGCAGAATCTCCCGCATCAGCACCTGCATTTCAACAAGATCTCTGAGGGATCACAGGCACATTCAAGTTCAGGAAGCAGTGTCCTAGAGTTCTGCAGGAAGCTCACCGCTCTTCCTTCAGCCAGCCGGCCCCAGGTAAGACCCTGTGTTTTTGCACACATGCTTCTGCCACAGCTTGAGTATGCAAACTTGCATGCACACATACACCACTTTGTTCCCATGTACCTTTCTGCACACTGATGTCAACAGATGCAGACGGCCCCGCCCTAATCTTGGTTTCAATTACCCTTCTATTTGGGCTCAATTATGCAACCAGGTAGGCCCTTGGTGACAAGCAGCCAGCCCTGAACAATGGCTGGGATGCGCAGACTGTCAGACACACCCAGCCACAGACACTCACTTTTTCAAAGGGCCCAGGAACTCACCTTGTACTTGCTGGGCACATCCATCTTGTTGCGAAGAAACTTGGCAAGATGCATGACGGTCATAGCTGCTGGACATCGCAGGAAACGCACCCCTGTCTGCCAGGGGAGAGGCACCCAAGGGCTGTGGCCCGCCCCAGGCACTCTCTCCAAGCCCACACCCGACTCCTGGGCAGGCCCAGCACTCACCTTCTCCTTGTCCCCGTCCCCATTCTCCAGGGGCCCCTTCTTCTCCTCTCGGTCCCTGAGGGAGGACAAAGAATGAAACTAGGGAGACCCTGGCTCAGGCAGGATTTCCTAGTACATGCATCCAGAAGGCCCTCCCTTCCAGGGGAATAGAGCCAGGGTGGGAGAAGAGGGAGACCCAGCCTAGGACCCCGAACGACCAGGCCTAGGGCAGACTTGCCTGACAGCTTCGTAGAACTCAATGGAGAGGCTGACAATCTCATCGTCACTCAGAGCCCCCTTCTCCTGCTCCAGGACCTCGCCACGGTCCTCGTTGGAGCCATTGGGGACTGCCAAAGGAGAGAACTCTGAGGGGCTGGCCGAGGATGGGGGGAAAGGAGCCCCACTGAGGACCCCGGATCTCGGAGCTCAGCGGGGTGAGCCCAGCCATCCTCTGGGCCGGGGACACGGCGTGGTGTGTCGGGGACGGACAGCTCCGTGCATCCAGCCCTCACGCCTGGGGCAGTGCCACACACACACGTGGCCCCGGGCCTGGGAGCACATACATGAACTCACCCTCTGTCAGGGGGTACGCTGCATAGAAATCCCGCCGCCGTTTCATCTCGTCTGGAAGAGGGAAGGAAGTGGGGTGAGGGAACAGGCTGGGGAGTGGGGAGTGGTGGGCAGGAGGAGGAAGGGCATACGGGTACCTTTAAAAAGCCCAGGGACCAGTTTGTAGACAATGTCTTGGAGGGTTTTGTCAGATCTGGGGGGAGAAAAAACCACAGGGCCCTATTAATAACCCTCTTACCCCGATCTCCCCAGCCAGGGATCCCACTTCTCACCTCCCTCGCTTAGATTCAGGGCCCAGCACTGGGGTCCCTGTAGACCTGGTCTTTAGTCCTCCAGTACTTCTCAGGTGGATACAACCCGGAGGAAAGGAAGAGGCCCAGTCCTTCTCCCCCACCTGCCACCTTCGCTACAGGAAGGAAGGCTGAGGGACAGAGGGGAGCTGACCCAGAGGATCGCAGGGGCCGGAGGGGCAGTGCCAGGCCCACCTGATGCTCAGCAGCGGCCGGGTTTTATGGACCTGCACGTCACACATGGGGCAGTACTTGTTGGTCTCCAGGTAGCGCACGATGCAGGTTTTGCAGACTTTGGGGTACAGAGAGGGAGAGAGAGAGGAGAGTCACAGCCTTAGTACCGAGGCCCAGCCCCCATACCCCCAGTTCAGGTTCAGGTATTCCTTCTCCACCTTGCCCCGGCCATTCAGGCCTGTGCAGAGGGCCGACGTGGTCCTGCTTCGGACAGAGGGCAACTGCCTCGCATCGAACCTTGGGACAGGACAGACCTTGTATGTGTGTGAGGCTAGTGTTACGTGTCATGTATATGGTGAGCCCCAGGTAGCAGGCTCCCCTCATGGAGCCTGTTGTTCCACATCTCCTTTGCCCCCAAGCCCATGGTGCACACCAGGGGCACCTGCGTCTTCAGGGGGTGAAATTTCAGCCCCAGAGATTTCCAATCAAAGTCCCTGAAATGAACTTCTGGGCTGAAACCTCCAGTTTTCCCTCCCAGGCAGCCCCTCGGTGACCTAGGGACCCCCACCAGACACATTCACTTTCTGGGGCAGAACCTGTGCTCTGCCTTCCCTGGGCAGTGCCCCTCCAACCTGGGCAGAGGTGGCCTACCCCGAGAAGCCCGCCCAACTCACAGGAATGCAGGCACTCCACGATGGTAGTGGCGTCGATGAAGTACCCCCCACAGAGGGCACACATGAGGTGAGGGTTCAGCTCCGTGATTTTGATCCGTGTGGTCCGATGCATGATGCCCGGGAGGGGAGGTGGGGGGCTGGGGAGCGCCACCCTGGGCAAAGGAAAGTGGAACCAGAATTCCAGGGGTCCAATATCCTCTTTGCGCCCAAGGCCCTTCCTCTTTGCCTTGGGTTGGGTGCAAGTTAAGGGTCCAGTTCTTTCTGGGTGCCAGGGGCTCTGGAGATTCATGCAAACTTGAACAGCAAGGCCAGGCTCCACCTCAAGAGCAGCAGGAAAGACTAAGGTTAGACCACAGGAAATACTACCCAACTCTCCAGAGGACGTAGGAGGCAGGAAAATGGGAGAGAACAGGCTTTTTAAAAAAATCCCTCTAATCCCAATTCATATTCACTCAAGTGAGTGGTAGGAGCTCTGAGGAAACTCAGCTAAATAAGCCAGTGACCTGAACCTCAAGAAAATAAAAGGGAAGCAATGAACTGCCCCCGCCCACTCACCCCTTTCACACAAGTGCTAGGGCCCTGACGTGGTCTTTCTGCTCCATCCCCACCCTCCTTCCATCCCATCCACTCCTCCTCCAGGAAACACAGTCCGCTTCACGTCTGAAGGGCACCCCTTCACTTGCCCTTCTGGCCCTGCACCCAGCCCCTGCCCCAGAGGAGCAGCCCGGAAGTCCACTGTAAGCTGACCACGCAGGTTCCAGGCCTGGTGCTCAGGCAGGAAACACCGAGGAACACACAGCTCCACCTGTGTCCACAAGCCCAGGAGTCCAGGGTCCCCCTCCCCGTGCACATGCAGGAATTTCCCCATGTGGGCACTGCCACCCACCGTCTCACACCTGGTGGTGGCACCTCGTCTGCAACCTGTCCACAGACTGTCCAGTAACAGACCACAGGCTAGATGCCTGCCAAAGCTGGGCAGGAAGTTCCCCGTCCCCAGTCCCTCGGAGCACCCAGCCAGGCTCTTGGCAGGGCCGGGGGAGGTCAGGCCGATCCCAGCTCTGGACTAGCTGATGTTCTTACTTCTTGGTATAAAAATCAAAGCTGCACAGAGAGGGGACTGCCCCTCCCTTCTTCCTCTTTCCCAGAGTAAAAGCCCAAGGGGTGGGGCTTGGGAGGGTGGCCAAGCCCCAACGGCTCCTTCACAACCTACACCCTTCCCTCCTTTCTAGAAACATTTCTAAAGCTACCACATTGGGTTTTCTAGGACCAGAAATTCACAGCCGGGATCAGCAGTTTCTATAGAGACCCCAGGATGAGTTTGGCCAGGACCCAAACAGCCAACAGAGGTTGGCCAGAGACCGAAAGAGATGGAGAGACACAAAGGCCACACGTGGGAGAAACACCAATGTGCAGGGCAGACGGAGAGGAACAAACGAGCAAGCCTGGAGAGCCAGCGCAGATGCAGTGGCTGAGCCCTGCAGAGCTGGCCGGGGGACGGGGTTCCCGCCCCGTAGAGCGTGGCCGCCTTCCGCCTTCCCTGCACAGGTCCCCCCTTCACAATTATGTAGCAGGCTTGCTGGCGATTACACTGTTTGGTCGTTTCCATAGTAATTTCATCCCTGGCAAAAAGCCCAAATATTATTACAACCATCCAGAGGAAAGAACAAACACCAAGTGGCCGTCTCACTGAGTGTGTGTAACATCCGTCGGATGTGTACGTGCCGCCTGGGCCTTCAAAGTTATTTTGTGTGACTGCTTGTCCCGCGCGCTTGTGTGTCCAAATGAATCTGTGTGCCTGCGCAGGCAGAATCAGGACTCTCTGGGGGCTGACAGTGCTGGGGGTCCAGGTTGCTACCGGCGAATGTCATACCCCCTTCGCTCTCTTTCCCTCTCACATATACACACATGGACAAACGCACAAACACGTGCTTCACACGGCCACAGCCACCTCACTCACACACTTACGTTTTCAAGCAGACACTTGCTCTTAAGAATTCCCTTCTGGTTCCTGTCTGGCAGACTACGACCTGAACACACAGGGCCCCACAGGCACTAGGCACATGGCCTTGACCCCCACCCTCTCACTTCCACAGGTGTCTGTGCGCATGCAGACCCAGACTAGCCCTCAAGTTCCTTTCTAGATGCATGGATGAAGGAAAAGAATTGTGGTGCTTACTGAAGGAATAAAATGATCCTCCATCTCCCCTTTAAGAAATGTGACACTCCCCCCGCCCCCCACCCAGAGCCTCAGACTGTTACCTCTGGGGCTGGGGAGAAGCCCTGATTGGTTCCTCACCTGATTGCCATGGTTACCTGCAGAGCCCTGCTAGCAGGTGCCAAGAACCATAAACAAGAGTTCTGTTCCCCTAAGTACCCCCTCCCCACCTCCCCATCCCACTAGGAAGCCCTAGGGCCCTGCAGCTGACACCCAAGTCCTCCACAGCTGCAGCTGGCTGGTGTGCTGAGAGAAGCAAAGGAAGAGGGGTGATAGTGGCTGGACCGCCAGCATCACTTTAGGGAAGAGGCAGAGAGATGGGAACAGCCTGAGGGAGACAGAGACAAATCCAAGATGCAGAACAGAGAAACCAGAGGAACTGGGAAGTGGCCTCTGTGGAATTCTGGAAGCTCCTAACAGGTCAGTCCCAACCATGTCCGCATAGCGAACATGAGCACCCTCTCCCACCCCCAATGCCTTCCCCCAACTGAGGACCAAGTCCTTCTGTGTCTTCTGTCCCCAAACTGCTGTCTTTGCAAGGGTACAACAGTTGGGCGGAACCTTGCTTCTGGCCCTTGGGGCCCCCTGGCCTTGGCTATAGTGGCAGGAAAGGAGATTGAGCAGCACCCAGCTCCAACTCCTCCTTGCCATTCAAGGCCAGCATTTGTCTTTCCTCATCCTCAGAGTCCCCTCCTAATAAACTCCGCCCCCCCCCAACCTGGCCAACAATCTCTTCATTTTAACCACGCTCTTTCCGAAGCTCCTCCAGGATTTAGGCCTCTCTTGCTGTCAGTTTTCTCATTTTCCCCGCAGAAAAAGCCAGGCTCTGATCACCCAGAGGTCCCCCTGCTCCTCTGGATGCCCAGCTATAGCAACAGGGAAGGCCCTCAACAGACAACCTCCGGGTCTTGGGAATTCACTCAAGGTCACATCCAGACGCCTAGAATTGCAGAGGTAGAAGGGGTCTTGTCAGTATCTTGTCCAATCATTTCATTTTACAGATGAAGAAACTTAGAAAGAAGTGACTTGTCTCAGGTCACACAGCAATGCAGTGGCAGCCCTTGGACTAGAAACCGCCTGACTCCCCGTCCAGTGCTCTTTACACACTGGCACTGAGGCCAGGCTCCTGCTCATTTAAGATCCACTAAGCCCGGCCTGACCCCGTCCAGGCAGGTGGAAAGTAGAAGGACACCAGGTTGCTTAGCAGACCACTCAGTGAGCCTCCTTGGAGGGGTCAAAGTCTGCCCAAAACATGACCGTCAGCACACACTCTCACCTTCGAGTACGAGGAGGCGGCAGAAGCCTCACCCCGCTTCTATGGTACAGATAGGGAAACTGAGGCTGCACAGAAGCACAGAGAGCCAGAGTGTACTGTCAAGACTCAGACCCTAAGCCCAAGTCCATTCCTCTCCCAACTGTGCCGGTGCAATTGTGCAAGGCTCATGTATTTGGGTGGGGGGCATGGGTGTCTACCTGGGAGCACTGGCAATCCCTCAGCCTGGGCTCACTCTACTCTCCCTCCCTTTCCCATGACAAAACCCCAAAATATACACCCAGAGTTACAACTGCCACATACACACACACAGCCAGACATACCCCCTCCATCTTTCTCACACTCACAACACACAAGGCCAGGCAAACACAACACACACACACACACACACACACACACACACACCCCTCCATCTTTCTCACACTCACAACACACAAGGCCAGGCAAACACAACACACACACACGGCCAGATATTTGGCCAGACACGGCCCATCACATACACAGCCAGACCGGAGCCTGACCCACATTAACCAGGTGCATGGCCACCTCCACCCACCCCATCCAGAAGCAGTCAGACACCCCTGGCTAGAACTGGAGCTGCAAACACACACTAACCTTTTGTGCATCCCTGGTCCACCCAGTGTAAATTATAACATGAGTCTTCTGAAAACAAAGACAGTGCGGCTCCCAACCTCCACTCTGGGGGCCAGAGACTAGAGGGGTAGGGTGGACATCTGACTTGAACAAAGATGTAACCTTTTCCAGTTCAGGCTCTCTCCATTCCCATGGCAACAGCTCCATCCACCAAGATCTCTCAGGCAAGGTCAGGGCAGCAGAGAGCCCCCTTCCTGCCCACCCCTCAAGACTTCAACTTGAACCCCACCCAGCTACACAGTGTCTGGATCCTGAGTCCCAGGTCTGCTTCCTGCCTAAGACCGCAAGCCCCAACTCCAAAAGAGGGAACCCCTGGGAAAACCTCACCACCAAAAAACTGCAACAGAGCTGGCTTTATGCTTCTTTTCCAAGTCCTAACACCTTGGAACTGAGTGGAAGAGGGAGGAAGAAGAGAAATGAGAGTTTCAGGAACGGATACAAACTGCAAGAGGCCCAGAGACGGAGGCATCAGAACCGAGTGGAACACAACCAAGGAACACTACCTACCCCCAGCTACAGCCCTGGAAAGACTGAGGCAGCACGAAGTGGGGGTTGGGGGTAACTCTGAAAGACAAAGACCAGGAGCCAGCGCGGGGTAACACTTCCACAATATTTACAGGCAAATACACCACCCCAGACCTCCTCCAGCCATGCGGAGCAATTCTGGGCAGATGGGGGCCGTGGAGGAGGGGGAGAGGCAGAGGCATGCCTGGCCCCAATGCGGAGACAGGAGGGGCAGGAGTGTCTTCTTGCCGAGGGGTCCCACCCCCTCAGAGCTAGCAGCAGGAAGGTCGGGGGAGGGGGGTCAGCCCGGCTTCCCAGTGGGAGAGGGGGCCGGTCGGTCCGACCGCTCCTACCTCCGCTGGACGTGGGAAATACCGCCATAAATCTCCCCCACATCTCCATTCTACCCCTTCCGCCCCGGCTGCCCCCGGAGCCTGGGTCAGAGGATCAGGGACCCCAGTTACCGGGTAGCCGCTCCTATCTTGCCTAGAGCCAAACTTTCGTCGGGGCCCTGGGAGGGGTGTTCCGGAGAAAGAGGCTCTGCTTAGGTGGTTGGGGAGGAGGCGGGGCGGGGGGGGTGGTTAGGGAGGAAGGGACCGGCTGGGGGAGGTGCCCAAGAGGACCGGGACCCGAGCAGGAAAGAGCG